TTTTTCACAATTTAAAAAAATTAATATAATATCACAACCTAAAAGTAAAAAAATACAACACTAAAACAAGAAGAAAAAAAAAGAAATATTGGTGATCACATTGTAAATTACTAAGATTCATATTGAGTATAATGAAATTCACGAATAAATTGGTCATAATATTCTTGAAGCGAATCCATGTCAAAACTTACTTACTACTAATTGATTCTTGATATTTTTTTGTTCTATTCAAACCATTCTTACTTTCATTAATGTTGGTTTTGATTACCTATAATCAAAATAAAACATTAATATATTAATATTGATAATTAGATTAATAAGCATTAAGTTTATCAAATTTAAAAAGTACTATCAATGATGAAAAAATTATAACTACTGATTTAAAAACAAGCCATTCATGTAATAAACTAAAAATTTATGAAGATTCAGTTAGAGTTATTTGTCACTTGTCATATGTTCCAACATAACTGAAATAATATTTGTTTTGAACAAACTGTACTAGTCTTGCAATAAATTATCTGTCACAAGACAACCAATTTTTGAATAAAATCAAATTCTGTCATTTAATATCAAGTTTTGTTGTTTTAGTACTTGTTTTTTGAATCAAAACATCGTAATCATATGTATTCTAATATATTATTTTCTTTTTCATATTCATTAGATTAGTGTATATATATAAATGGCCTGTATTATTGTTATGCTTAATTTATATTTTATACAATTTTGTTTAATTTATTTTTAAAAATATTAGATATTTATTTTTTAATTGTCGATACAAGAATTTGTTTTAATTGCTTTTTGTAATTATATCTCATAAATATTTTAAACTATCATATATTTTATAAGTTTAGTCCAAAATATTGAGAAAAGATAAAAAGAACATATTTCAGAATAAAAACTAAAAAATATTGCTCTAAATTCATAATATACAAGACATGTTCTAGAAAAAAAACATATTATTAGATTTGTTACAAATAGACTCAAAACGATTAACATATTATCGAGTAATAATAATATTAACTATATTAGTACAACTGTTATAAGAGTTAATGTTTCATTATTGTTCTAGCAGTAATACAAAACAACTTTTTTATAAGTGGTTTTAGAAATAAAAAAATTTGGAGTATCCATCAATGTATCAAATAATCAAAATGTTTACATTAATTCTGTAAAGGAAGAATTAAGAATTTCAAACTATACATAATGATGAGAGGAAAGAAATAATTAAATAAAATCATAAATGAACAAATTTATAATAAAAATAATATTCTCTTTCAATATGTTTTATATATAATTAAATAACTAATGATTTATAATACAATTTAAATTATATTTCATTATTTTTTTTTAAAAAACATCTGTAAATTAAACATTCTCTACATAAAAGTGTAAGAAATTTTAGTTTTAAAATTAATAGGATTTTTATAATTGATGGACATTTTTTAATTCAAAACTGGTCATAGATAATTGCACATATCATACAGTAATACAGACTATGTATACATAATTATATATAAATTCTTATACTCACAGGCAATATGTAATATATTTCATTTATATTGATAATATTTGAAATATTACTCTTTTAAATAAATTATTTGTACATTTAAAAGTATTTTTTTTTTCACTGATAATTATATAAATTAAAATGTATAACCTAGTATTACAGACTACATTAAGATTGATGCAATCTGTACTAGTATATAAAATCAATTTAGTATATTTACCTGCTCATCTATTAAATACAGATTAGGATTACATTTGGCACTATCGTGTTGACCTTTGTCATGGCATACAATGTGTACAAGCTTAAGATTAACAGTTGTAAAAAGCAAATCATAGAAATATTTCATATTTATTGAGCGGCACGCTTCAGATGCCATCATACTAGCTTCAAATAATGCTGGTATAACAGTTCTAGATCGTTCCATCCTATAAGAAAAAGTAATATAATACTAGATTTCAATTTCATATTATCATTTAAAATAAATATAAATTTACTATACCAATGATCTAAATTCCAAGTAGAAAATATAATTCTACTCTCTCTGTTTTGATATGGATTGATTTTGTGACCTGTACCTCGTTCATAAGAACAAGAACTTAGATTCCATGCACCTTGACAAGTAAATGTTCCAATTTTGTCACATAAACAATTTGAATCTGATCTATCAAAATAATATCCATGATGCTTGTTTTTAGTTAAAAGTTCATTGAATTTTTTGTATACTTCATTTAAATATTGTCGACACTTTGAATGTTTTAAATAAATATCCGATTTTATCATGTCTGTTTTTGTTTTGTACATATAACCTCGTATTCGATCTTGGCAGCGTTTGAACATGAATTCTTCTTTAGTTTTTGCTCGTGTGTCCAAATCTTAAAAAAAAATAAAATTTCATTATAATATTCACATAGTTTGTTTAAAAGCTATGGAATAATAATAGTAAATAACAATTATATACTATTCAAATTCTTAGTATTTTTAAACAAATAATTCACAATAATTAAAATAATATTTAACTATTATTTACCAACAATTACTAAACATAATACATTGAACCATACCTTGAAACCATTCAGGATCTTTAGACCTCAAACTGAAAGATGTTAAATCAGTATGTTTATTTTCATCTGTTTCCAAAATTGAAGACAATATTCGTATTTTTTCTTTTACATTTTCATCAATAAAATATTTAACTTTAATTGAAGTCTTTAACAAGTCTTTATTAACAGCTGTAAGGGCATTGTATACTAAATCAGCACCTGAAAAATAAATCAAATCAAACGATCATCTAAAATGAAGATTATAAAATATATTTAAATTCTTATAGTATTTGATGACATTATTTTTTAAGTTAAAAATAAACATTTTCTTGGTTTATCAAATAATTAATTTTGAACTAATCAATTACTAAACTTTATTATAAACAATATTTGGTATGAACAACTCATAGTAATTATTTTTATTAATTTTAAGTAATTTATGCTATAACATTTAAAGTTTTTTTTCATGGAAATATTAATTTTAGTTAAAAATAGAGAAAACTTATTTAATATAAACATGTTATATTTTTTAAACTATAACATCAAAAATATCCATTTTAAATTTTAAATTAAATTATTTAATAGTTCATCCATAGTATAAAATGTTAAGTGAAATTAATGTACAATTTTATTTTCATTAGAAAATAGACAATAATTCATTGATATTTTTTTTATCTTTAACAAAGAGAAATGAATGGTTATTTATTTCAGT